ACTCACGTTTGGAATGGGGGATCGAAATTCATGGTGTTTCAGTAAATGGGAGCCCCATTTGGGCCCCATTTACTGTCAAATATGACACTGACAAGCGGGAAATTTCGCACCTGGACTGGAGATTTCTAGAACTATCTGGAATACCTGAAGAAAAGTATATAAGCGACGACGAGAACCAGACCAGGAGAGTGAAGTGACAGCCGCGCCTGAGTGCAGAAGAAGTTAAACCCACGAGTCGGAAATCCGTGTTTTCCGTGTGTTATTGTTATCGTTTGTGAAGTTGACATTAATTTAGAAGTTAGTTTGTTCCTGTTCCGTAGTTAAAGTTGTACCCAGTGGAATAAAAGTTGTAAGCTGAAGAAAGAGTTAATACTCGGCCATCCACGGTTTTAATACTCGGCCATCCACGGTACAATATAATTTCACTCTATTTTTTATATATCTTTCAGGTCGACTCTCAATCAACTTTGGGTGGAGGAGTGGTGGTCCAGGTGTCTGGAGAATTATCCAACGCTGGTGAACCGATGCGTCGCTTTACTCAAACCTTCGTTCTTGCGTTGCAGAGTCCTAAGAAGTATTACGTTCATAATGATATTTTCCGTTATCAGGTAAGAAAGATATAAAGAAGGAAAAAGGTTCAACTCTGTTCCCTAGCACCACCTAAATATATTTTTTTAACATTGCTCGTATTAGTTCAACGTTAAATAATTTGTCGCCGAAATCGTTTTTAAACGTGAATGTTTATGCTAACACCTATTCGCTTTTTTCTGTAGGATGAGATTATTACTGACGAGGACTGTGATGGAGATATGCGAGGTGAAGTAGCAGAGGAACGTTTAGATCGCCAAGTTTTGGGAGAAGCACAAGGTTTGACTCAGCCAATTGCTCCCGCTCCTGTCATTCCGTACTATGGAGGTGCTGTTCCACCAGCGGGAACTGCCTTACCTTCATTACCGGCTCAACCATCAACTGTCGTACCACATCAACCTATACACGTACTATCTGCTCAACCCCAAGTTGGTCAATTATCCCAAACTGCTTCTTTGAATGGACACCCTGACGACTTGGCTATTTTACAAGGTATTTATGGTATAAGTCAGCATGTTTTTTGTCTCGCAAACATGGTATAAGTGATTTTTCAAGTAAAATAAACTTAGTATAAAAATATGTGTAGTGCTGACAATGCCCTTATGGAGAAAAATTTGGAAACGAAATAATTTTCGTTTTAACTGAGTTGCTGACAACAATGTAATTGCAGTTATTACATATACTTACACTATATGAATTAAACTGTTTTATTTATGTATTATGCTAATGACAAAACTTAATAACACCGAATTAATTAGTTTTGCCTTGGTTTAATTTTAATTAAATTATGTAATTTACTTTTTATGATATATTTATAATTGTCAGCAAAACATTTAAATTGTAGGCATTATACCTCCACCATGCTCTTACATATTTTGAATGCGTCTAAATTGATCTGGTCTGTCTTATACTGTAAGACATGAAACTTATAATATCACTAATTTTGTTAATTCGTCTATAGGACATCTTTCCCAATCGGTACCGCAACCCCTTAGTGCCCCGCTGACAAATATGCAAAACCAAGGTGAGTTCTTTGTAATTTTTTAATGTTGTGTGTTTGAATGTGACCGTTCCGAACTATTTAGATTGATATGTCATTTCAAAAGTCAAACAAACATTATTGTATGAAATAGTCGTTATTCCTAACTTGAATGAAAATTATTATTTGATATAGTTCTTGGAAATCAATCGCCTGTGATACCCCAAGTTGAAGAGGTACAAGAACAAGATCCGGTAGAAGAGCCTGTTAATGATGAAGGCTATGGTGATAGTTGTGACGCGGCCGTTGAGCAGGAAGTCACCGCGGAACCAGGTATGTTCTAACAGCGAAAAACATAGATTTACTAATGTTTTCTATGTTGCTTATTTCATATATTTCAAAGCAACAACAAACAACAATTTAACAACTAAACAAACAAAAATGAGACAGTTGATTGTGAATTCGTTCCTTTGAACCCTGAGCTGCAAACTTCTTCAGGCACCTTGTCTGTATTCAGACATTGGCTACCATCATGTTTACGATTTCTTAAAGTTCGTTTATCGGATGCCGCGCGAAACAGTTCCCCAACCCCAAGACCACAGCATTGGCTGATCTTTTTTCGCCCTATCCACCTTTTACCCACGGCTTCCTTGTATTATGAGGCGCAATAGAATATAGAATAGAGATATTTAGAACCTCTAAATATATGTCCAAAGTATTCCGTTTTTCTCCTCTTTATAATGTTTAGCACTCGTGCCGTGTCCATCATTCTGAGAACATCCGCATAACAATCGTAACACTTTCTTTAACACGGCGCGACACGATGCGTCGAACATTGGCTCGAACGTTAGACCGAACGTTTGAGTAAAAAAGTTCGACAGTTCGTGCGGCAAATGTACCTGTGTACGGTGTGTCGAATGCTTAAAGCAAGAACCATTTGTATGCAACAAATCAACGAATGTTTTGATTTATTTTGACTCTTTCTTACTTTCAACAATAAACGTCGAAATTCCCGTGTAAAACTAAACAGCAAAGTTCTGCAGCATCCGGTCTGATACACACTAAGATTGGCTGGCGCGTACGACATTTTGCAGATTGTCTAAAATACTATAGTCAATTTCTGTGCCTGGCGAGTTGGTCGGTTTCCAGAATGCCTAGACATTTCGTACTATGCCAATAACATACATGGTAAATTTTCACAAACCTGCGAGTTGGATTCGTATTTGCTTACGTTCTCAAGTGCCAACTTGGCATAGGGTATATGAGTATTTGTCATGTTATCACATAATTAACAAACTTTGCTACTTTGCATAGTTGATATAGGTATTTTTATTATTGTAATATTTATTTTTTATGTTTTGCTGATTGAATCTGTAAATTGTATTATCATTTTGATTTCCATATTAACCATTTAATAATTAATTTCAGCTTCAAACGAGCCTAAAACTTACGCAAATCTTTTAAAAACATCGTCCGGACAAAGTCAGTCTATTTACCAAGCACAACCATCACCCAGTGTCTACAGGCCTCAGTCGCCTCCCACTTTGGGAAACAGAGATTCTGCTCAAACAAACGGATTGGGTAACAAACATGCCGGTCCCAGAATTTCTACTGGACCACCTAACAGGTCTGGAGGGCCCAATCACAATAGAGGACCCAGAACAGGAGACGAAGGTAGGTTTTTTGATATGCCTGATTTAGTTCGATTTTATGCGATATAGAATGGGCCTATCCCACCAACCCGATGTTTTTTGCTCAAATCTCTCGATTTATCTCCAAAACCTTTTTAATGCTTAGTTTAAAAAATGCCATTTTTATTTAAAAAAAAAAGACCTCCACACGCGTTATGTGACATAAATTATATGTAAAAACAACTTTGATAAATCATTCACCATTTGAAATATAATTCGACTGTCCAGATATCCAGATTTTCATTATTTTCCGTATTTAGCTCGCCAATGGAGATTGCACGCTCTAGGAAACAAGAAACTTCGCGTAACTTAATGATAGTCTCAAACCAATCAAAATTGTTTGTAGGAAACTTTTCAGTTTCAAATATTTTAATCAAATCTTGATTTTGGTATTTAATGACCGAACAGAATGTCTCGGTTTCTATTGACAGCTTTAAAAGTCATGAACTATTCAAATATTATAAACACAATATTACTGATACATTGAAGAACAGTAAACGCTCTGATAAGCGGACAGTCACGGTTCCATAAAAAATGTCCGGTTATGGGAGGTGCCCGCGCAGTAGATACGTATAAAAAAGCAATATTTATTTTCAACCTTGTTTTCATTTTTTTTATAACATTTCTCAACATAGAAACACAGAATGTTATTGGGCCGGTTTATTAACATATTCTGAAGTACTTGTTAACCGCGTTTTTTGAAATGTTTGATTAATAATGCAATGTTGAAAATGTATCAGGGTTTTTAAGGTATTGAAAAGCAATAAAGTCTTCGTTGGCAATGGGCTTGACTTGCATTTAAGGCTTTATCATACGATTTTATGAGTGAAGCATTAGATACAATTGTCAACGTCTGATTCGCCATCATCACTACTCATGAAAAGTTCAGTTATGGAAAGGGAGCTAGTATCAGGATGAAATGTTTACCCTTCAGTCTGCACCATATGGTCCATGTTTACGAACCCTTCTGCTTCTGGATCACTTGCACATAAGGTTTTTGCATAACGCATTAGTCCAGCTAATAGTGACAAAGGCAGCATCTTCTGTATTTTGATCTTTTAGAAGTTATCTTGCATCCAGCTTGTATAAAGCAATTTTTGACTGTTGCAGAATTTACTTTATTCCATGCCGTCTTTATAAAATATAAAGTCTCTAATGCATTACTGGACACAGATTTGCAGGCGCCAATTTTAGTTAAAACAAGTTTTAGTTTAAGTTGTTAATGATGCCTTGGTACAGGGGTAGACATGTAGAAGTGGTGTTTGGGGGCAAAAATATACCTTTCACATTTCTCAGTTTCAGCTCACGGCACCCTGCATTAGAAATAAGAGTACTTTTTTTCTTATCGAACTGAAACAACCTATTGATTAATTGATTTGATTCGATTCTGACATCATATCTTTGGTCATCCCGGCTTTCTTGTTTGATTTCCAAGTTTGCTGGCAATATTTTTCAAAGCACAAAAACGAAATTGTGAGTTTTCTTAGAAAACTTACCGCCGGTGCAGTTCTTAGATTTGAATCTTAAAATTTTGTCTGGTAATGCACGAAAGAAAAGTCCGCGGTGAAAACGTTCTCCCAAAACATCTAAAACGCGGAATTACCGAATATGTGACGGAATTCCCCGAATGGAAATGGCTTATTTTTGATAACGGATTTATTCTTCGGCCCCTTATTAACGCTTTGTGTCCGCTTGTAAAATATTCTTGATTGCCTATGAGACACCTATCATGTCCGCGTCCGGTTAATAGAATGAATCCGCTTTTTAGAAAGTGTTTTACATTGAAAACCATATGACGATATTCGATTTCAAGAAAAATGTCCGGCTAAGATAGATGTTCGCAAGTATAGCTTTCACTCTAGTTCATTGTTGAATACGGACCGGAAGAATTTTTAAACTACATTTAGAAATGTATTCCGGGCTTTGAAGCCGTGGTCTATCGGAATTTCTTCCTGACGTTTCATCCACAACTGCGGTGGACATTTTCAAAGGCGATGAGGCAGTGGGCG